ATTGAAGAAGGCTTGTCTACCCAGGTCATAGATACCATTCTGGCTGCCAGGAGGCCTTCCACTACTCGAATTTATGATTCAACTTGGAACAGCTTCTGTAAGTGGTGCCGAAAATCCTCTGTCAATCCTCGCTCTCCTTCTATAGCACAAATTCTAGCCTTTTTACAGGATGGCCTAAATGAAGGTCTCTCTCCCAACACGTTGAGAAGACAGGTCGCGGCCCTCTCAACGGTGGTGACTGGCGGCTCCTTCAGCTCTCTTTCCCACCACCCTCGCATTAAGGCCTTTTTAAAAGGGGCTTCTAATTTGCGCCCGCCGGTAGTGCATAGATATCCAACATGGGACCTTAACAAAGTTCTCCTGGCCTTGACTAGGCCTCCCTTTGAACCTCTCAGGGAGGTACCACTCCAGTTTCTCACCTTTAAGGTGGTCTTTCTTGTAGCGATCACCTCAGCTAGAAGGATATCTGAAATTGCAGCTCTATCCGTGAGGAAGGACTTGTGCATTTTTCATTCTGATCGAGTGGTCTTGAGACCAGACCCCTCCTTTTTACCAAAAATCAATTCTGCTTTTCACAGGGCGCAGGAGTTGGTCCTACCTAATTTTTGTCCAAAGCCTCTGCATGATAGGGAGAGGCAATGGCACACCCTCGATGTTCGAAGGGCGTTGCGTATTTACATATGTCGCACGCAATCCATCAGGAGATCGGAGTCCCTGTTTTTGTCATTTCAGCCTAAAACGCTGGGTCAAAAGGTACCACCATCCACGGTAGGCCGGTGGATTAGGGCGACCATTTCCAAGGCCTATTCAGTTCAAGCTCTTCCAATCCCCAGTGGGATAACGGCTCATTCCACCAGGAGCGCAGCTACATCAATAGCTTGGGCTACTCAAGCCTCGCTTCTTGACATTTGCCGGGCGGCCACTTGGGCCTCTCCGTCACCTTTCATACGCCACTATAAGATTGACACTTTCGCTTCGGCTGAAGCGTCCTTTGGCAGGCGAGTCCTACAGCAAGTGGTTGGGGATCCTAAGGAGATTCCGATCCAGACGGAGTCCCGCCCGTAAGACAAACATGCTTTGGTATGTCCCACTCTCTGGATGCTCGCAGCAGTTCTACGGAGAATGGGCGTTGGTTCTTACCTGATACGCCTCTTCTCGTGGAACTGCGTAGAGCATCCAGCCCCACCCTTCTTGGTCCGTCTGGTAGGGAATTCTGTTTTTCGGCCAATGATCGTTATTGTATATACTTGAGTTGTTTACTAGTTCAGTTAGAGGATTATGGTTGTCCTCTCGTCTTCGTGAAACTGGGAGAACGCATGGAGGAGCCACGTGGAGGAAGGAGGAGCGTTCTTCAATTATAACTCAGCCTGTGAGAAGGAAGGACTGAAGCACCTCCCACTCTCTGGATGCTCTACGCAGTTCCACGAGAAGAGGCGTATCAGGTAAGAACCAACGCCCATTCCGTGGAGAGTTGGCCACGGTGAGTTGGCCATGGAGAGTTTTCCTAGACCTGTCACCCATTGGATTTGATTTTTATCTTGTAATAGTGGCATTGTGATCTGGATTTGGAGGATATTATTTATCCTTTGTGAAAATATTGCTTCCCATTGGGGTTGGAGTTTTATGAAATTTGATTTGTCCATGCCAGACATCCTACAGGGTTCCAAAGGAAGCTTGAGGTTATTCCTGTGACAATTGAGGCCTTAATCACCACTTGGGTTGTATTGCACTTTAAGGATTCTGTGCACATTCACGCTCACTGGAGGAAAAGAAACAGCAAAGGTAAGAGTGTTTCTTAGGCAACAAAGGCACCTGTAGGTAAGTAGTCTGTGATCTTGGTCAAAGTGATCCAGTCTCTCCTGGGCAGTGAAAGTTTTGGGAAAAATTTAGGGGCCATCATTAGGATTATTCTAGGCATCTCCAGGGGTGCGATTCAACTGGTGTAACAGCGTTTGCTACTGACCTTCTCCAGCAATCTGCGCACATCAGCTGAGCTTGAAACCCAGGATATAAAGCACAGGTGGGCGGGCCCAACATCTGATCATTGGAGAGAACTGATTCGCTCACGGTTGATCCTTGGAGCTATTGGTTTGCCCGAATCGGGCCGAACCGGTAGAATCCCACCCCAGGCGTCTCTCAGGTAAAATCACTTGGATTTGTTCAGAGTTGGACTGAGCTGCCTGAAATGAGGTCTTGCCAGTTGTCTGGGAGGAGTTTGAACAGGTTGGTCCTAATGAAATAGATACCAGGTTAGTTGAGAGTTTGGTATGTTTTAGATCCCTGTCCCTTCTGCTTATTTAAAGCCTCATGTAGTGGACTGTGAAAATAGCCTTAAGGGACAGGAGGAAGAGTTGCAATAATAAGGCAGTGGTTAGATAAAAGAAATGTAAGCCTGAAGTAAAAGTGTAATTTAACCTTCATTGTAAAGACAGGGTGGAGGTGGTGGAATCTCTTTAAGTTTTAAAGAAGAAAATATTGCTTCTGAATTCATATTGTGCTTTCATCGGATCGCTAGTATGACTTTCAGGTAATGAGAGTATTGGCAAGAAAATGAGTTGGCGATAGTGCTTTTTTGGATTGTGCTTGGAATTTGTCATTTTTTCTTTTTCTTTTCAAAGTCTGACTCGATATTTCTTACGAACTTTGCAGTAGCAATAATAAAAGAGCTGTTTCCCTTTATTTTGTTCTGGAGCACTGAAAATGAACTTATAGAAGCCACTATGGTTTTATATGTTTTGGCTGTTTTGGCTTATATTTTGCTTTTTCTGTTTATGTTTTTATTGTTGGGATCTGCCCAGAGTCATATATGTGAGACATATGACTGCACAAATTGACACAATAAATAAACATATACACATTCTGGCTATGATAAGTCCATCTATTCCATCAAATAAACACTTCTACTATATTATTGGTTTTAAAGTGTGTGTGTGTGTGTGTGTGTGTGTGTAGCTTCAAGTCAGTCTTGATTCCTGGCAACTGCCTGGATTAGCTCCTTATCTAGTTCCAAAATTCTTCTCATCTTATATACAGAGGATAAAGTCACATACTGGTCAGCATTTAGAATTAATTTCCCACTGTTTTTACAAGTTTTAAAACTGCTTCTAAGTTTTTAATAATGTGTCACTTTTATCAGTTGTTTCAGTAAGGGAAATCCTTCCTTCTGTGGCATCATTAGGAATATTGTTCCAGCCATCAAAACTCAGGCAAACAACTTCTTTGGACCTTTTGCATTACTTTCTTATATGTTTTATCATTGGCCCCTGATAGATGCTTTTGTGGATGGACTGTGTTCTGCTGAAATAAGTAATCCACTTCAATGAAGAAAGAGGCGGTTATTGCAGGAGCAAATCCTACATTATTTTCATTGATAGTCTGTTGCTCTAATCCACTATTTTTAATGAAAACATTTATACTTGTTCATTGGGGATACAGAGGGTAAAGGCAGTGGTGGGATTCAGCCAGTTCTCACCAGTTCGGGAGAACCGGTTGTTAACTTTCTGAGCAGTTTGGTGAACTGCTTGTTGGAAGAAATCATTAGGGCAAAGAGCCGGTTGTTAAATTATTTGAATCCCACCACTGGGTAAAGGTTTGATGTGGTGAGGGAGAGTATCTTATAGTTGGAGGTCTCTCCTTTTTTAGCAGCTTCAAGGTTTTTCTCACTTAAAATGTTGAAGATGACATTGTACGTAAACAGTCATCAAAATTCTACATGCCTTCTCCTACATAAAAGAAGTCCATATAATTAATCTCTATTGCTCTTTATTATCATTCGTGGTTGGATGCCTTGAGCACAATCTATAAAATCTTTTTTAAACATACTCATCTTGTTTTATTTCATTGCTGTTTTACTGCAAAGGCACTGAAATAAAATTATTTGTTAAGTCTTGCTAACAAGCCTCTTAAAAGAAAATTAAACAGTTAAAGAAACTGTTCAAATAGTTGAGAGAAACCCTTCTGAAATCTATGGACAGAAAATAGGCCTGTTTTTTTTTTTGAAAAATATCATAAAAAATAATTATTGTTCTGGAAAAATCCTGTGTAATGTACACATGGTCCTCCAGTATTTTCAAAAATGACTAGTTTGTATATGCTGTTTCAGGGAGTCAATCAAGCTTTGCATTTCTTTGCATTCGTAACTGCAGGGTCTCTGACCAATTGTTCCCAGGCTAGAACTTATTCATAACCCTCCAATAATTTTATCGTTTGTTTATGGGAGTTAATGGAAAACACTGAGATAACATTCCTTTTGAACACTATGCACATGTTCTATGTCAGTTTATGCTCATCTCTTCCTTCTATTGATAGGGACTACTTAGTTAAAGTTATAAAGTTAGGTTACTCTTACGAACTTATTCTTAGAGTTACGGTTGCTCTTAATGATGGTTTCTTTGAGCTTTCTTCGTCAACACATGGAAATAGCAATAACAGACTTATATACCGCTTCACAGTGCTTTACAGCCCTCTCTAAGCAGTTTACTGAGTCAGCCTATTGCCCCCAATAATCTGGGTCCTCGTTTTACTGACTTCGGAAGGATGGAAGGCTGAGCCCAACCTTGAGCCGGTCAGGATCGAACTCCTGGCTGTAGGAATGCAGAGTTAACCTGCAACACAAGGACACAAATAAAGACACGAATACAAAGACATAAGGACAGTTTTCCCCCAGAACGCTTATCACTCTGCTAAACAACTAATTCCTACAACACTGTCAAACTACTTAGTAAGACTGTATTAATATTATTATCTATCTCTTCCTACTCATGACTATAACCGTGTTGCTTGTATCTTTACAATTTATATTGTTTTTTTGTTTCCTATTTGTTTTATTTGTTTTATTTGAACCTAGTTGCAAAATTTAAATTTACAGATATGTATCAACTTGAAGCAATTGTGATTGAAGGTTCTCTATTTTTCCAATGTTTAAATGTATTTTTTTTCTGCATGCATGGATGCATCCTTCTTTCGTTCCTGATTTTCTGTTTTTCTCTCATTTTTTTTAGGAAGTTGGCTGGATGCACTCTCTTTATAACAGGTGCAAGCCGTGGCATTGGAAAAGCAATTGCCTTGAAAGCAGCAAAGGATGGGGCAAATGTTGTTATAGCTGCTAAGACGGGAGTACCACACCGCACGCTCCCAGGAACAATCTATACTGCTGCAGAAGAAAGTAAGCCTGGAGAAGGAGACGTGGGGGATCTGAGTTCTGCTATTTGCTTTAACCTCCAAATCATTTGGGAACTTGATCCTTCAACTGAATGGACCGATAGACAGGCGTGGCCAGTTTGTTTCAATTCTGTTGCTGCCTCAAGGGGCGTTTTCACTTTTACTCTTCTGCTTAAATCAACCCACAGCTGAATGCTTTGGTATAACTCAAAGCCATTCTTCCCACCACTCTATTCTCCTCCATCCTCCCTCCCTCCCTAAAATATTCTTACATTTTAATTGTCCAATAAGTTTTATTAATCAACAACAAAGAACAAAGCATAGAAGTATGCTTACGGAGTTGCACTGGGAGTTCTCAGGTGACCAAAGGAGGACCTTGAGATTATCTCTTTTGGAATTCAGTTTTTTTCTGGCTAACTAGCAGAGTTCCCGGTTTAAGGAAATAGGTCCAAATGCTAAATACATTTGATGAGTATCGATACATTTAACAAGATAAGCATACAAACAATACAGGTCACTTTATTAAAACTGTAATAACAATATAGAAAAGTGTACAGTAAGAATTTATGCTAGGGATAGAATACTGAAATCTCTTTGTCACAAGTACAGTAGTTACAGACAAAAGGCATACATACAGTATAATGCACATTACAACAACTCAGGCAGGACTAGGAATAGTAAACCCCAAATAAGTTACAAAGGGATGCTTATACAATATCTAGAAAGCATCCCCTACACATAACTGCAGATGGTTTCCCATGGTTTAGCGATATCATGATTTATAAGTAAGTTTGTTATTAATTTTAACATAAACAGGGTTATTAACTTTGAATACATTTAGGAAACGTGATTACTTTTCTGATAAACAGAATTTCTGTGGGAAAATTCTGATGAAATGTGTGTGTATGTGAGATAGAAAGGAAGAGACAGAGAGAAAGAAAAAAGGAAGGAAGGAAGGGGAAAAAAACCAAGGACCAGAAAACTCTGGTGATGACAGAAGTACCATTGCTAAATGACAGTAGCATTAGGAAGGGGTATGAGAAGCTGGAGAACTAACAGAGCCTGAAGAAGAAACTCAAGAGGATGTGAAAGTCGAGGGTAAATTAATCCCAGTGAGCTATGAGTGCCCAGAGCTATGACTTCTAAGCTGGGAAAGTGTCTCCAACCGATCTCAGGAATGCCACCAGAGCTGTCTGTCTAGAAAAGTGTAGTACTATGAATAGCTAAGATACTAACACAGGATCTCAAACTCCCAGGCTTCTGGTAGAGGACTTGTGATTGAGGAAGACACATAACCCCCATAACGGTGAGAAGGGATTTTTCTTTCTCATGAAGAATGAGATGCTGAATTAAAATGCTCTTTTGCTGGGTATAAGATAACCTAGCACGCATATTTGATAAAATCCAATCAAAATTGGAAGCCTATGTTTAACATAACCGAGTCTGGAAAGAATGATATCGTCAAGCAAAATGAGGAGTTGCTCCGAGTAGGAGCCTTTAGCACCAGGCCACAAAACTTGTGTTACCTTCTCTGTTAGGCCTGAAGGCTGCCAACTACAAGGAATAAGGGAAACAAACCAATGGGCTTCCACAGATCCCCAAATCTTAATCAAAGCAGGCTAAAGGGATCAGAGAAAACAAACATAGGCCAAGCCACAAGAAACAAGAGTACAAATATTTATGAGGAAAAAAAGATAAAAGAGGTCATGCTTTACAAACAAAGGAGGCATTTAGCAAAGATAGACGGTTTTAAGATAAGCTGGGAAACTAAACACAAAACAAGGTCACTGAGCAGCAACAACAGAGCAAGATTACGTGTTGTCGGGAAGAAAGCAAATGGTGATGTTCATCAGTAAGTAGATCATTGCTCAGATTTAAAAAACAAGGATTTTCCAATTTCAATTTCAGCTGACCACAGAGGAATGTTTTGTGAAGAAACAGTCCATGTGAGTTCCCAGAGGAAAGATCAAGTAGATGTATAATATCATTACCAACCAATTCTTGCATACAAACCCTTTAGTCTAAAAAGAAAAATTAAAGCATTAGTCCTATAGGCTGGGGGCCTCAATCTGTGGGCCATGAGGGGACGGCAACTGGGCCGGGAAAACGGTCAATGAGGGTGCGCAGATGAATGCTTGTGAGCAGCAGGCAAGTGTGTACACTCCATTTGCGTGAGCAGTGGGTGTGCGTGCACCCCACTTGTACAAATGGAGTTCCACGTGCTCTTGCTGGCTGTGCATGCGAAATCATCCCCCCCCGCCGCCTGGCTTGGTGGTCATGTGACTGGCTGGGCGTGGCCAACTCAACATCACTCACATCAAGGCACGCATCTCCTCGCCTGGCCTCTCATGACTGTGGGGATGCTGCAATCGTCGTAAGTGTGAAAAACGGTCATAAGTCACTTTTTTCAGTGCCATTGTAACTTGAAATGGTCACTCCACACAAGCAAAGTACCAGCAAAGGAGGGGGAAAAACTCCAGAGAAGTTCCAGAGACAGGAAGTCTAGTCCTGCCAAGAATGTAATAAGGGTTAACGGAGAGGCAGTTTCTGTAAGTATCACCAGAATGTTTCCTTCCTGCCTTCCTTACAGGATTAGGCCAGTAATTTCTTCAAACAACCGGTTCTAGCGAATAGGTGCAAACCTGTAGAATCCCACCCCTGGTTGAGCTACATCTTGGGTGATTGAAATCTCTAAACTATTTGCAGTACAGACAGAGTAAGAAGTTTTGATGTTTAAACTCTTGCCTCTGCTTTTAACTAGTATTTAGTCCCAGGAAAGTTTTAACTGTTTCCATTGTTTTAAGTTACTTTATTGTAAAACAGAGACCCTGCTTTACAATCTATTCAGATTGGTGCAAATTCTGAGAAACTTATAACTGCTTTCATTAGTGACAAAAATTGGTATTAATTTGACAATTTTATAATTGTATACCATAACTGGACTTTTAACACATCAAAGCCCACAAGCAGAGCTTTGGGTTTGAAAATTCCTACCAGTACTTCATCCAGTGCAACTGTAAATAGATTGGATGTTACTCCCTTTTTGACTGATTATATATATATATATTGTTTTTTCTTATCAGTTGAAGCAGCTGGAGGAAAGGCTTTACCGTGTATTGTTAATGTAAGGGAAGAAGATCAAATTGCGGATGCGGTGGTCCTGGCTGTTCAGAAATTTGGAGGTAACGGCTTATGTTCACTCCTGAAGTATATACTAAATGTATGTGTTTTTATTAAAAAACGATTGAAACGATAAACGCCCCAAAGATGAATTGCTAGATTGAAAGATGAGTGTTCAGGTATTAACGTGACTTGTTTTTAAAACTAGGAATTGATGTCCTTGTGAACAATGCAAGTGCTATTTCCTTAACGGGCACGCTGGAGACAACTACAAAAAAAGTGGACCTTATGATGAGCGCTAACACAAGAGGAACTTACCTGACGTACGTGATTGTGGACGATGCACCTTCTGAAATATTGAGATTTATGTACCCATTTTTTTTTTAAATCCCCTGCATTTAAATGAAAGACATGACAGATGAAACATGATTCTGGTTGACTCAGTTGCTCTCTACAGAGTCTGTTTCACTTTTTGGTTAGAAAGAATCTGTATTAAATAAATGGATTAGAAACTAGGAAGGGCTAGGACATTTAGGACAATAGTCATTTAGTGACTATTCAAAGTTACAACGGCACTGAAAAAAGTGACTTATGGCCATTTTTCACTCTTAACAACCATTGAAGCATCCCCATGGTCACCTGATCAAAATTCAGGCGCTTGGTAACTGGTTCATATTTATGACAGTTGCAGTGTCCTGGAATCATGCGATTGCTTTTTGTGACTTCCTGACTAGCAAAGTCAATGGGGGAAGCTGGATTCACTTAACAACCATGTTACTAACTTAACAATTGCAATGATTCACTTAATGGTCATAGCAATAAAGGTCGTAAAATGGGGCAAAAGTCACTTAACAACTGTCTTACTTAGCAACAGGCTCAGTTGTGGTCGTACATCGAGGACTGCCTGTAACCCACAGTCACAAAATAGCCTTTTGTGTGACCTTCAAACCATCTTCCAACAAGCAGTCCATGGTGAAGCCAAAGGGGAGTCACAAGTCATGGGACATTAGGCATCATGCCCTGCGGTGATTCACTTATTGACCACAGTGGAACTCACATGTCAGGCATGTCATGTGATGCTTCACCTAATGACCGCATTGTTTTGAGACAAAATTGCCAGCCCCGATTGCGATTGTTAAGGGAGGCTTTGGAATTGGAAGAAATGCCTCTTCTTCCATATATTTCTATTGGAGCTTTAGAATCCTTAAGAGTCCTTATTCCAGATCTCCCTGTCTGCTGAGGGGCACCAAGGGACTGTATGGAAGTGGGGGTTTTCAGTGATTTCTCTCCAGCTTGACAGTAATTTTTCCCAGAGACATTGATTTAATGTTGTTTCTGTTGTTGCCTTTTAGAGGCCAGGCAAAGATCTTTTCTTGATGGGAGCCTTTTATTTTTAATTTTCTGCAATATGGCCTGTTAATTAACTCTCTTTTTTCTGGTTAACAGCTGTCAAATTATTGCTTTCATTTACGCTTGGTGTATTTGTGTGTATTTTTAGCTAATTTTTGTTCATCACACTTTGCACCGCGGCTGCGAGATGACTAATATATTTTGGCAATAAATAAATGAAAACACATTTTCGACAAACTCTTTCCACACTTCCTTGCTCCACCACCAGACATGAAGTTTAGGCAATAGACAAGTAAAACAGAGGTTTAAGAGAATTGTAGAAACGATCATTTTCAGATATAATGGTTGTGTTTCATGACTGGATAAAAAGGGCCACCCTGATTGCTAAATCAACTCCATTAAACAACGTGGAGCCTTTTCTTTGTGTGGCTTCATCAGCCAGTCTATATGCTGCAGTGTTTCTTTTGCCTTCTGTATTGGACCCATCCATGTAGTTTTCTTGGCAAAAGTCTAAAAGTTGTTGTCATTTTTCTAGGATGTTTTTCATTTAAAGCCCTGCTATTTCCAGGTAATTTCACATTCAAATGCTAAATAGACCCCACCCTTAGCTTTCTTCCTCTTCGGAATGGAACAACTTGCTATAGCCAACTCGCTACGGCCACCTCATCACAGCCAACTCTCCGTGGGACAACTTGCCACAGGACAATTTAACAATTCAATTTATTTAAAATAAAGAAAACATTATTTTAATTTTTGTCATTCACATTTCATTTTCTCCCTCCTCTTGCATCCTTTCTTCAATGATTCTATTCCAGAATTTCTTTGTAACTTGCCTGCAGCGAGTTGGCCATGGTGATTTGGCTATGGCAAGTTGGTTGCAGCGAATTGTCATAGAACCCTTCTCTTTCTCCTTCCTAGCTCTATCCGGATTTGTAGAAAAGTTATCTTTGCTGATTTTCCCTTTCTGTTGCAGCCCATCACCACACCCCCAGTGTCCCACTATTTAGTGCAACTTTTAACTCTGGAGTAGATTTTCAGAGAGGAAGAAGGGAAGAAAGTATCACAAATCTCACCAGTGTAACTGCTGTTGGAAGCATTTAACAAGCAAGAATAGGAATCTTTTGTTCATACAAGGAAGGCCTTGGTTTCAGAATGATGTCTTAAGATATCGTTGTCACCTAAGTTTCTAAAAATACTTTCTCTCTAATATATTGTGGTTTGCTTAAGACATTCAAAATGTATGAGGCATATTTTCACAATTCTTAAAGGAAGTAGTTTCTTTAAAAAAAAAGTGTTGCAGGTCTGAAAAGAATTTTGTATGAAAGAAATATAAATCATTGTTAATTGGCCTATCAGCGAGAAAAACAGTTGGCTTTACCATATTGACTAAGTTTTTCTCCGAATAAATTATCTTGGAAATAAAATAACTTCCCTGTATGAAAAGATTTCAGTCCAAACTTTGTTCATACTTCTTGATATTTCTGTGTGGGAAGCTTTGTGTGTGTGTGTGCGCACGCTAGTGATACGTTCTCTGTGGTTGTGTTCAGTCACAAAATGCATCACCAGCAAAAAAAAAAAAAAGAGCATGGATACTTTTATTGTGGAGTCTTGGATATTAATTTTATTTTAGTTTTGCAACATATTAAGTGGGGAAGGGACCTTTTTCCTGTTATTGCAGTACGAAAACTGTGACGAGAAGGAGGAAGACTGTGTTAATGTAATTTTATACAATCCACTAATATATTCATCTTTAGCACTTTCACACAATTTTACTCAGATTCCTTTCAGCAATGCCGTTGAGGCAGCTGTCCATCTCTTTCTTAGAAACTTTTTTGAAAAAACAACAACATTGCGTTAGGTTGTTATTTCTATTCCCTTGAAAAAAGTTTGTAGTATGCTTGCTTGCTTTTCATAGATTTATGATTCAGGCATGGCACTGGACCATTCCCAACAATTAGGCCGTGCTGTTATTTAATGCTATTATGTCTGCCCCAATAATCTTTCTTATTTTATTTTATTTTTGTTTGTTTGTCATGGTCTCCAAAAATATGTTACAACCTCTATGGATGAGGAAAATGGTTACGGAATCAGAGAAGAGGTTTGATTCCCCAAACAAAGCAGGAGATCAAGTTTGCACATGCAATTATAGGCAGAGAATATTGGGGGAAGTCAAACATTAGACACATGTCAAATACATTGCAACATTTTTATTGTGAAAGGTTAGAAAGAAAATTACTTACAATAACATCCCACATACATACAATATTGAAGTTGCCTCCTTATGTGGGAGTGAAGTCTCTTACTTAAGATATTATTAGTGTTTCTTCTTTCTGCTTACACATGGATCCCAGGGGACATTTTGGAAAGAAAGAAGTGAGAAGTTTTACTGCTGTTAAGATAGTCACAAATGGATAATGATGCTCTCTTGTTTTCATTCTGCTCTCAAATTTTTGTTGTCTGTGCTATTTATTTACTCTCGTGCCTAGAAAGAACTTCTAAAATAATTCTTTTTGCAATTATTTCCTAATTAGTAAACTATAACAGTTATCATGAATCTGCTTATTTTTATTTGTTTATTTTTTTAAAAAAAATAAGATGCATAATTTAAACTCATCCTTCTCCAACCTGGAACAAGAGTAGTAGCAGTGGTAGAAAGGTAAAATCTGACTAGAATTCCAAATCTTTCTTGTGTTTGTTTTTATCCTCAGATCTAAACTGTGCCTTCCTTATTTGAGAAAGAGTAAGATCGGTCACATCCTTAATATCAGCCCACCCATCAATTTAAATCCTATCTGGTTCAAAAATCATTGTGGTAAGTAAACTTTTACTGCTCACTGATAGTAATTTTTTTCTATATGAAGGAAGCAGCTATATACATGGGTGTGAGGTGATAAAGACTTCAGGAAGGCAACTGTGATTGCATAATTGAAGCTGTTTGTACATGGGTTCCCAGAGTTCCCTAGCTAACAAAATCCTTGCTGAGAATCTAGAAGTTGCTGTAAGAAAAGTAATGGCAGAGCCAGGAAGAGAGAAAAAAAAAGGATCAGTTTAGAGTCATTACGTAACCACAAATATACTAAGTCCAATCCCCCTTGAGTGCTGTTGACCCTTATCTAACCAGGTACTGATTGTTAGTTGAGAAGATTCTGCATAGATTTTTAGCAGACCCCTGGTGGCGCAGGCTGACTCTGCTCACTGCCAGCAGTTCGATCCTGTCTGGTTCAAGGTTGACTCAGTTTTTCATCCTTCTGAGGTGGGTAAAATGAGGATCCAGATTGTTGGGGGCAATATGCTGACTCTGTAAATTGCTTAGAGAGTGCTGTAAACTACTATGAAATGCTATGTACCGTATTTATCGGCGTATAACACGCACAGGCGTATAACACGCATCTTCATTTTAAGAGGGAAATTTCAGGAAAAAAATTTAAATTTCTAAATAAAAACTTTGAAGCACCGCCCGGCCTCCGCTTGCCCTCCGCTCGCACCGCCCGGCCTCCGCTCGCACCGCCCGGCCTCCGCTTGCCCTCCGCTCGCACCGC